GTTTTACATCAACTGCCAACCAAACACATGGTAATCGTCCCATAAGAAAACACATGGTGGCTCATATTCCCGGTCCTAGCCACTGTCAAGTTTTGTTTTTAAAACATTAAATCAGTTATATTAAAAACACATGGAGGCTCTGATTTCAGGTTTTAACCACTGTCGAGTTTTCTTTTTAAAACATTAAACCAAGTTATCATAATACATGGTTATGTACCGTACACCATTCAATGAAAACAAATTTGCATTGACCAAACTCAAAAATCCACTATTTCACCAGTGTAAAAGAAAGGTCAGGATTGTAAATGTATAACTTCAATGGCTGTGTACTTCTTCCAAGCACACAGACTAATTTATGATAGTAAGAGAGTAATAGTGGCAATAGTGGTAATCCATGTAAGAGAAAAGCCTTGTGTAGATGGCAAATACAGTACATGTTCAGGTACATTTGCATTCAAGATCAGTTTGAGGTGCATCTGAATTCCTTCATAGGTGTTTTTGACCTCATCTTACCTCCTCCTACACTACATCAATCCGCTTCTGTATTTTATTTGACTTTTTAGTGTCTTTTCTTCGAAAATGAGGCTAACTGAACAAAATATTACCATGAGATTAGTCTCAGATAATAAAAGCTCAAAGACATTAAATGGTAACAAGTAGCAATTTGTTCATTTGCTTTCCATCAGTGGACTGCAGGCTTATTGGACGTATCCAGCAATAAATCTTGTGCACATCCTGCATGCTCTCTAGAAATTTCAATGTAGACCCACCTACAAGGGCACCGGCTCCATCCGTTAGCGTCATGTGCCATGTAGGGAAGTTGCAGGTGATTACATTTTCCTATTTATTAATTCATTCTTTGTCCAAATACCCGGCTGTCCACAAAGATATATACAAAATATACCTTGTTTTCACCCCCTATTGTCACTGTGCTCACATCTTTTTGTTCCCTTTTAATAACTGTAATTTTCATGCTCTCCACTGTTTTCTTTTTAATTGTCACATTTCCATTGCACTTTTTTCATTACCTACATGCCTTTAGTACTTTTTCATAATTTTCAGCTATAACACAGTTTTTATATATCTGATGTAGAACTCTATGCAAGTCAACTAAGCAAATGAACTGCTGTATCCGCCAAAATATTTGCAATCCTGTTCAACAAGTCTTTTGTCTCGAATATGCATGCAACTTTGTAGACCCAAATTGTAGGTTCTAGAAAGTGACAACTTTATTCTCTGTTGTAGGCTGGTAGCTTCCTTCATTACCTGCCTCCTCATTAGACTGTGAATGAGCAATAGCCCAGTTCTGAGCTTCTCACATCTTCCTACACACTGCCAAAACATCTTCCCTCTACTCCTCTCTCTCTCTTCTTGCCTTTTTCCGTTATGTACTACTTTCTTCGCTTTTACTTTCTTCATTATTTCTTACTATAATACTATAGTATGTGGGGCTTGTTTCTCGTATTCTTTGCCATTTTGTACCTCAGTAGCAGTATTTTTGATACCCATAAAATGACGATTTTTTTAAAAAAGTTCTACCGACTTGTTCGCAATATTCGAAGGTCTATGTGTTCGACCATTTTTTATATCCGTTATATATGACCTTGTATTGTGCTGAATAAAGGACGTAAAATTTAACAAAAAACCTCACCACTTGTGTCAGATACACAAAACATGTGATACTAATGTCCCTGCAGAACACTATTTATATCCGGCTCTTAAAGCAGAACTAAAGTCTAAAAATTAAAGAAATGAATAAAAACTGCTAGGAGATGGTGTTTAATGGTGGAACAGAAAGGTTCTCCTTAATCTGAACACAAATGTATCAAGTGTCAAAACTGGTTAGATTGCCTGTCAGGTTTTTATTTGTGTCTGTTATCTGTGGAATAGGGTGTGAGGTTAAATGGTGACACATGAGGGGATTTACTCCCACTTCCTGTTGTGTTTCTGGGACAGGAAGTGAGGTGAACAGGACACAGACTGCAAAAAAAAAGCAGACTGGATCAAAATCTTATACATCAAAAACAAACAAAAGAAAGCAAAAACCAACAGCTACACGTGCATTGTGGTTTTCTAAAAATAACTTGTTTTAGAAAGTTATTTGTAACACAAGAGAGAAAAGCAGGGGTTTTTTAAGAGGTATCCCACCACAGCTTCAAGTTTTGATAAAAAGATTTGTTTTTATTTTAACATATACTGTAAATATACATATAAAAAGCAATCAGTAATTGCAGTAGATTTAAAACGAGATCATTCTAACAGGAGCATAGACCCATAAAACATACTGTACATATCCATTATCGATCAATAATTATTCAGTGTGTTCAATCCCTACGCGTTTCACAACTTGGCTTCATCAGGGGATTGTGGTAGAACTCTTTCCATTCAGTCTAGATGCCTCAACACATCTCTTTATACACTCTACGCTATTTAACAGACCTACTAGCGAATTATTGATATGCATTGATTGAATATATTGTTTCTTGTTAGATCAGTATACAATCCCCTGATGAAGCCAAGTTGTGAAACACATAGGGATTGGACATAATGAATGAATAATTATTGATCGATAATGGATATGTACAGTATGTTTTATGGGTCTATGCTCCTGTTAGAATGATCTCGTTTTAAATCTACTGCAATTACTGATTGCTTTTTATATGTATATTTACAGTATATGTTAAATAAAAACAAATCTTTTTTCAAAACTTGAAGCTGTGGTGGAATACCTCTCGAAAACCCCTGCTTTTCTCTCTTGCGTTACAATTATCTAAATTACGGGGGAGAGGTTACACCCGGGGGGCCACTGTGCTTGCTGCTCACAACTGTGTTGCAAATTTGTTTTAGAAAGTTATAAAAACGAAAAAGAGGTGCGTGCATATGTATTCACCCCCTTTGCTATGAAGCCCCTGCATAAGGTCTGGTGCAACCAATTACCTTAGGAAGTCACATAAATAGTTAAATAAAGACCACGTGTGTGCAATCTAAGTGTCACATGATCTCAATATATATACACCTGTTCTGAAAGGCCCCAGAGTCTGCAACACCACTGAGCAAGCGGCATCATGAAGACCAAGGAGCTCTCCAAACAGGTCAGGGACAAAGGTGTGGAGAAGTACAGATTAGAGTTGGGTTATAAAAAAAAAAATGTATTTCCGTTTTTGTCTTCTTGTCTACTTGATGCAACTATGATATTTTGAAATGATTGCCCTCAGCTGGCAAGCCATAGATCCTTTTCATTGGAGCTGGAGTTGTACAGTTTACCGACCCTGATGTCAATGGCACAACTACTGAGTTAGTAGAAAAGGATTCGGCTGGGGATATTGGTTATGATATTCTTGATTGTTCAGATTTTTGAATACTTTGCCTTTTTTTTTTTGTTAGGCGCTGCGCTGTTATGAGTTAATTGTTGCTTTGTTTATTTGATATCTGTTACTTGTGTGTTTCAAAATTTTAAAAAAATCTATTGGATAAAAAAAAATGTACTTAAATGTCCCAAAAATATTTTCTAAAGGCAGACCTATGGAGCAAATTAAAGGTAGTTTAAATGCCTTTTTTTATTATTATTATGCATGATATTTGCATTGCTGTTTATTTAATCTGTATTTTTAGTAAGAAATGCATTCAAATGAATTCTTGTCCTTATAAACACAATTTAAATGTCCACATGTCCTAGTAAATAAAGGGGTTCATTTACACCATGTCTGTTAAGATGCATTTATCTGCATTGATCAACACAGGCTCAAACAATTGTTTTCCATGTGTCCTGTTCACACCACACAGGGGCAGGTTTGCATTCCACATGACGCACAGCGCATTACAACTCATGGCAGAGCATCGCAACATGTTGAGCATAATGTTGCTTGAAATCTTTTATGTTAAATTTCGATAAAGAAAAAAAGAACTGCAAAATGTTGTTACAGTGCATCGCAGCATGGGTGCACAACACACAGCAGCAGACGTGTGTTATGTACGCTATACTCCACGCCTGCAAATGTGAGTGAGCCCTAAAAGATGACTGAAACAGAAAGACTGTTGAGAAAAAAAGAAATACCAACTTCATGAAACCTCAAAATAGCGTGTGTCTGCAAGATGGCGTAAAACTACGATATCCATAATTGTCTATAAGTGACGCTTTAAAAATCTTTTAAGCTCATTCATTTAGAGTTAACTGTCAATAGTGTATTCCTTTTACCTTGGTGTGCGTGGGATGTGAGTTGTGTAATCAATGTTTACATATGCATGTGCATCTTAAGTGTTCATATGTGTGAAGGGTTCCTAAAAATAACATGAATTACAAGTTTTAAACACTTTTTTTCCACAAAGAAAATAAAAAGCTTTGTATTGTACAGCACATATGGAATGACAGGCTCTGATAGATCCCATATGTCTTCCCTGAACTCAGGCCAAGCACCATGAAATCCTTGTTTACCGAATGTGCACATTCACTCCCAGGGTACTTTTCCATAACAAATATGCCAAACCTTGGAGCTACTATCCTGTCTCTTCTGACTGGAGAAACAATATATATTATTATCTAAAAACATACAAAGCATGAAAGGTTTTTTTTCAGCTGGCAAATACATTATCAGTTTAAATGCTTCTTGTGCCAAAGGTTTCCAGATTCCCTTTTTGAGCCAGTCAGAATTGCTGGTATCAGATATTGTGTGTTAAATAGAATTTTTATTGTATTTATTAATTCAGTATGCACTCCACTATATGCTAGTAAAAAACAAAGGCTGAGGGCTCAATGCAAACCACTATCATGAGATCAGAACAAGTGTCTTTATTTTTTTGAGTGTTCTCATACACTATACACAGAAAGGGGCACGGGGAAGGTGACCGGAGGTAGAAATACACTCTTCCCTCCCCAACCCAAATATTCACTTTTTTGGGAAGGTACAGACTGAGGGGAAGTGAGGCTGGTTCTGTAAGTGCACAAAAATAAAACTGTATGCCTTCAAAAAGAAGTTTGTCTGTGAATTAGATTACCAATCCTTCAGATATCCACAGGTTGGCTCGATAGGAAATGATCCATTGAGGTGTGTCAAGAGATGGTGGTAAAGGAGTTCCTAACATTTACCCTGTAGCTGTGTGAAAAATCAAACACACTGCACAACATAATGCTGAAGAGGGCTCTGCCATGCAAATGGGTTAAGTTCTATGCTGGCATCAGAATGCATCTTCATGAGCCAGTGCTCCCCCCACCGTCAGTCTCAGGGATGGGTTCCAGGGCACCTCGCGGCCTAAATACATCTAGGGAGGGGGAGTGGGAGCTATCCCGACTTATTCCGCAGGATTGCCCTGCATGGTGGATCTGCCTGATGTGGTCCACAGCTTCATTCTTGGCATGTTTGAGGAGGTCAGCTTGACCCTGTAGGATAAAACAGTGAGAAAAAACTGTGTGAAGATTATAGCAATATGACTGCAGAAAACATTAACAAAAGGGAAAATTACATTTAAAAGATCATAGACACAATAGACACATCAACTATCTTACATGCAGCCAGCTTTCTCAATTTTATTTGTAGAAATATGAAAGAGCAGCTGAATGCATATAGTATCAATATATCACAAGTTGTAGATATACACTGAAATTTACATTTAGCAGTGATGTCCATCTAGACCACAAATGCACTAAAACATATCATGGTCAAGGAAATTAACATAAATTTGTTAAATACGCATCATGTGAAGTGTACTTGAAATATATTTTCCTGGCTTTAGCACTGAGGGCCAACCAAATGTGCACGAGAAAAGTCAAATAGGTCACCGATAAAAACACACTAATGCATCAATGGCAACTCATCAATAATTTTCACAATTTTATGCAAAAGCATAATAAACCAATCTCCCATGTAAGAAGGGGTGGAAATACATAGGAACAATTGTCACTGTGTCAACATGGACCAACTCAGCAGCCCACTTCATTTCAACGCACATTGATCTTTGATGCTTAATGCAGTGCTTTTTCTACCCTGAAATCTCAACCAGAGCTATAAGCCCTGCTTGCTGGACAACAAGACTCTGCTGATCCTTCACCCCTTTCTGGTCTACTTACGCATGTGTAAACTACTTTCTTTCCTAGCAGAATAGTGCTGCTGCCATGACTCCCCAGTGCCCGCCCACATAATGTGTGTAGGAAAAGGGCTATTGGGAAATGTAGTTCTGGGGACGTGCCTACATTGGTAGGAACTAAGCTACCAGAAGCTGTGTCTGCATGTATGAGAGTGAGGTTGAAAGTGATTTGGGGCTGATGTAAATGTTAAGAAGTTTCCCAAAAACATTAAGTAATTGCACTATCTATCAAATGAAAACAGCAGTCAATCTAGGTGCTATAAAGAACAGTACTATGTTTGTACCACTTTCTGCATATGTTTTTTAACTATATTTGTACATGGGGGCATGCAGATATGGTCCTCGCTAATGCATCTTATGCACCTTGTCTTGTTTGTCTGTATGTGTTGAGATAAGCAGATCAATTTACAGATTTGGAAAAAGTAACTAATCTAATTTTTGGCAGATTACAAATTTTATATTTAATCTTCAGAGTATAAAATAATCCAAAAATTCCAAGGAGATGACGATTTACAAATTGCATGACACTATTCAGCCAACTAGAAAATTCTGTTTGCTGAAAATAAATGGGGGATGGGGAATCGACTGACTTTTCTCATTTAGCCTGAATGAGAGAGATCTAAGGCCTCGTTCACACCAGATGCAGTGCGTTCCGGCTCGATTCCGGCCAGAACGCACTGCCTCGCATTGCGGCTGGCTCACTTTTTTGTGGGGCAGGAGGGGGTGTGGCGGTCCATTGAAGTGAATGGCACCGTAGCCACGCCCTCCGGCCGCAATGCAATTGGCCGCACGGGATCGTAAGGCACATTATGCCTGCGGTCCGGTCCAAACAAAATGCCGCAAGCACTATTTTGTTCGGAATGGACCGGACCGCAGGCATAATGTGCCCTGGATCCCGTGCGGGATCCTGAGCTGATCTCTTTTAAATACATGTCTTAAAACATCCATGAAAAGACTATGTGTCTTCTAGAATCAGGGGTGTGTTTTATTTTGATGTAGAGCTAAATTTATACATCCGATTTTTTATAGTGAATACGTCTTCAACTTTGTCTTCCTGCTCTTGTGTTGTATGACCTTGCTGCGAGACAAAATCTCTCCCAGTGTTTCTATGGTGGGGGAAGGGATGGTGTTACACATGGGCATCTTTGGAGATAGTTACACCCTTAAAAGCTGAACATCTTATACATGAATTAATTACTGTGCAATCCACCCTAAAATCTCTTATGCTAGACTAATGAATCTAAAATATTATAATTTATGTACTGTTAACTGCTCCGCAGCGAGAGACGCCAGCAGGCAAATCTCTTGATATTTAAATCATTTTAGATTTTAAACACACTGTTTATTCAAGCGGCTTAATGACTCATTTAAATGACCCAAACAGAATTTCCATAAGTAGGGTCTAAATAAAGCCATTTTCCTGGATATGCACATTAGAACAACATTGTTTATGAGGGAACAGAGCTATGCATCACTGAGACAATTGTATGACCCTTTACCAAACAAGACCACACCATGTGCCTTAGGTCAGCTGAAACCTCCTGACAACTAAGAGGCACTTTAGGGGAAATGTCATTGACACAATATAAAGCAGGCACTTATCCAGAGCAAATGGTATTTTATTATTATACAGGATTTATACAACACCAACAGTTTGCACAGCCCTTTACAATATAAAGGGAGACAGTACAGTTACCATACAAGAGGGTTAGGAGAGTCCTGATCGTGAGTTGCCAAACTAAAAAGGAGGGGCAAGTGATAAAAAGAGGTAAAAACTATGTGGGGGATGAAATGATGGAAAAGTGTAAAGTTGGTCAAGTGTTGTAGTTTGTCACCTGCATTCCATATGGCTATGTAGACTTTTCTCTTTCTGAATAGCGGTGCTCGAAGTGATGACACGGATGGCGCCATGTGTTCTCACAAAACAGATGAAAGGAATCACCAGGATGCAAAAGTCATGCTCATTTTTTTGTACGTGCGTCACATTCGTCAATGAAACCAACGTTTCAGGGCCACACAGGGTACCTTCCTCAGGGTGACATAGTGACACTCTGGTAGGGTCACTATGTGGCCCTGAGGAAGGGACCCTATGTGAACAAAAGGTTGGTTTAATTGACGCAAATTAAAAGTTCAGTTGCTAGGTAGAGGCTGGAGAGGCTTCCCAGTAAAGATGATTCTTCAGTGATCGCCTAAAGGCGGACAGAGTAGGCGATAGCTGAACAGATTGAGGTAGAAAGCCTAGTGGATAGGAGAGGCTCTGGAGAGAAGCATGAGAGGAGGTGATGAGGGAGCTAGGGAGCAGCGAAGAAAATGGTTTGGGTGATATTTTCATACAAAGTTGGTAATGTAACTGGGACAGAGTTGTGGATGTATTTATATGTTGTTAAGATTATGAATTCTATTTGCTGGGTGATTGGAAGTCAGTGCAGGGATAGGCATAGGGGGGTGGTGGACGCTGAGCGGTTAGTAAGGTGGATGAGTGAAAAGAGGGGTCAGAGTCCAGGATTATACCTAGCATCCTGGATTGTGGGGAGGGACTGATAGCTGTTTTATTGATCTTAATGGAAAAGTCAGGTAAGGGGGCACAGGGAGAGGCAATATAACAAGCTCACTATAAAGGTGCCCATACACTGCTCGATTCTCGTACGAGAATCGCGGGAAATCCCGCGATCGTACGAGAATCGAGCAGTGTGAACGGAGACGTGCGACCGTTTCTACTGTACGGTCGCACGTCTTCCGTCGAACCAGCATGTTCGAAAACCAGCCGGGAATGGTACGATTCTCGGCTGGCTAGAACGGTGCTCGGAAGACAAATGCCGAACGGGCCGGTGTGCGCACGCGCACACTGCCCGTTCAGCATTGCGGTCATCGGAAGCCCGCCCCTCAGGGGGGCGGGCTTGCGATGATCGAGAGTGCGATCTGCCTGTCCAAGATAGGCAGATCGTACGTTTTTTTAATCCCTGTACAACCATCGCAAGACTAAGGTATTGCGATGGTTGTAGAGTGTATGGCCACCTTTAGAAAGATTTCGTTTTAGTAAGTGGTCATTCATACCGATATGTCAGTTAATAAATTAGTAAGAAGACTGAAGGAGCGAAGCGAGGAGTAGCCAGAGGTGAGGCGAGGAGTAGAATCAGCAGAGAGATGGTATTGGAAGCCATAGGAGGTTATTATTTGACCAAGGGCCAGGTGTAGGTGTAGTTTGAGAATAGAATGGGTCCAAGGACTCCTAAAGAAAGAGGAAAAAGTGGAGATAGATTGCATCTATCTTGTTTTTGAATTCATTGACAATGTTTTGGGCCGTGAATGAGTTAGTGAGGCAGAGGGGTATGAAGTAGAGAGTTAAAGGTAGAAAATAATTAATGAGGACTGAATGAGAGGGTGTTAATGAGAGTGGTGAAATAGGTCTGTGTGGCAGCAGGGAGGGAGGAATATATTTTAGGAAGGCAGATTTAAACAGGAAAAAATAAATCTTGCAGGAATTTGGGCTTGCATCACAATTGCTCAAAAGTATAGGTTTTGAGGATTCTGTTGTTATCGGTGTGCCAGGGTTGTAGCAGTCAAAGTCTAATTCTAAAAATAATGAGGTGGGGGTGTTCAGGGAGGATAAGAGCAAGCTGCTGTAGACAGACGCAGCCAGGTCAGGGCAGCCCAGGCATGAGCTTTTGTCGTAGAGGTGGTCAGTAGCAGTGTAGTGAAGAGAAGGGTTCAAGTGGCAATGGTTTTTATGGGAAACTGTTACATAGGAGGAAAATGGGTATCTCACTGGAAAAGGGTGACAGCAGTCTGGGAGGCAGATAAATCACAGCAATCTTGAGAGAAACCCGAGAAAAAAAGACAAATACAAGAAGCCTCAGGAGAGAAGAGGGATAGAGAACAGGTAAAGGAAGAAGGAGTCCAACTCCACCTCCCGGGGTCTGGGTGAGTGAGCCCAGTGGAGAACACCATGGAGAGGGAAGCACGAGAGGCAAATTTTCAGTAACGGCAAGTAGGTTAAGAGATTTGAATATTGCCTGGAAGAGAATCATTCTGATTCTATGGTTTTAACAATCCTGACTTAGTGTACTGGTTCCATGTAGGGGTCTCAGATGTTTTGGCTTGCCTTTTTTGCTGCATGCTTGTACCAGGATAATGACAAACAAGTAAAGTAGCCATAGGAAGAAAAAGCCAGCAAATCGGAATTATCAGAATGAGATCAGCAATGGCAGCCTACATAATTCTCTCAGTACGCATTTTCCTTTAAGATATCAAAGTGCTCTCTGAAACACTAGAAGGTAGAAAGCAACGTTTCTTTACAATAGGAAAGCAGCTTGCCTACTTTTTAGTACATTAACCCCTTATGAATTTTGTATGTGTAACTACTATGTAGGACTAGTGACTCTAAATTACTTAGCTGTACAAAGTTATAAATTGTATAAGTTATAGAACACAAAATATTAACATTTAAAGTGAGAATTGTCCTTGTAAAGAAGGAAAAAATCCCCCCACACGAAATGATAAAAAATCCAAAAGTAACTCACAAGAGTTGCAATAATCCTTTGTAATAAAATGTCTACTCCTGACATACAAATAACAGGTTAAATTTAGAACTTTCTGATGAACCATGTCTACATGTCTGAACGTTCTATAGATGCCATACAACTCACTAGAAAGCATGTCATTTGGCTACAGAAGCACAGAAGGAGCAGCTATACTCTGATCTCACCTGATGGGAAAATATGCAAATGCAATGCAACCAATGCACGCAAGCAGAATTTAAAGTCACATTAAACATGACCTCAAGGGAAATAGTACAGTCTTCAAATACGTAAACACTGAAAACGCACAGTACTTTCTCTTAAAAAAGGCAAATCATTAAAACTGATCACAGGGTTGCACTTTATTATTCTATCAGTAGATGGCAGAAGCCATCCACATAATTTACAACAGGCGTCTCTATACATACCTTTAGCACAGTAATGTTCCAGGCAAAGCTTTCCATGGCTTTCTGGAGCTTCCTACCCTTAAGTCCTTCTTTGGCACCAATCCGATGGAGGTCTTCATGAAAACCCATCCCTAAAGAACAAGGATAAAACATTACCATATGTTGTCTATATGTATAACAATTGTTTTAAAAGAAATTTAAAGAAGCTCTTATTTTTTTAATTTAAGAAATGTAATAAGTCAGGGTAAGCTTCCCTTAAGAAATGAAAGCAAACTTTCTCCTTCATTTCTGGCTGGTGAAGACCAGGCACATGACAGTGCACTTCATGGGAGCCCACGATTCTGTGGTCGTTATTCAGGCCCTAGGACTATGTAACCTCTCAGCCCTCGACCAGCAGGTCCCTGATCCTTATTTTTATATTTATCTATCTATGTAATATATACTGTGTGTATATATATATATATACATATATATACAGTATATATTACATAGATAGATAATCATCCAGTCATCCTGCCGAAGTGCCTTGTATGGTTTAATAGATTGATTGGTTTGATCTGTGACATGCCCTGTACACTAGGGATGTCCCGATACCGATGCTAGCATCGGAATCGGGCCCGATACAGGGTATTTTGACAAGTACTTGTCAAAATGCCCCGATGCCTAGCGCCGAAGCTTTCGCTATGTTTTTTTTTTACCTTCCGTGGTGGCTGGGGTCCTCTGGACAGGCTGGAGGAGCGTCGCGTCACTGCTGTAGGCGAGCTCCAGGTGAGGTCTAATGTAGTTGGCCGGCGACTGCCCAGAAGACTCCACCTGGAGCTCCGCCCCCAGCAGTGTGTCATAGACTCGCCTCTCCTCGCCGCCTCCTACTCAAGCGCCGGCTCTTAACATCGAGGACAGCAGTGGTGGTCCAGCTGACAATCTTTCCTCTCATATACCCAGAAGGCAAAGGTATAGCCACTTTTGATCCCGCAAAGTTGATAAAACTTTATCCCATACCGAGCGTGCTTTGAGGGGATATATTGTACTTTGTACTACATGTGTGTGATTTACAGCCATGTGTGTTTTTATGTGTGTGATTAAGCCAGCGGCTGCTGTCCCTTTAGTGGAAAAAGTGCAGCAGCAATGACATGTCACTGGAAGTGTCAGTATACTGACCTGCATAAAAAAACAATGCAGTGTCACTGCCGTGTTAAGATGGCATATGCCTCCTCCAAACTAAACTTGTTGTGCATAATTTAGCAACACACTACCTATCGACCTAACCTACAGACTAAATTAATAACACAATTTTTTTCATAACGTACTACCTATCTACCTATGTAACTAACTGACCTACAGACTAAATTGCCAACAAATTACTAAGCACACCATTTTTTTTTAACTTACATAACTGACCTACAAACAAGCAAATTACTAACAAATGTTTATTTATTTATCTTACCTAACCCTAAAACTGACTAAAACACTGATCTCTGTCTCTCTCCTTAAGGTGCCCCGCGATCGTACGAGAATCGAGCAGTGTGAACGAAGACGTGCGACCGTTTCTACTGTACGGTCGCACGTCTTTTGTCGAACCAACATGCTCGAAAACCAGCCGAGAATCATACGATTGTCGGCGGGTTTCTAGCCTGCTCGTCTGATAGCTGCGGAACGGGCCGTGTGCACACGCGCACACTGCCCGTTCTGCATTGCGGTCATCGGAAGCCTGCACCTCAGCGGGGTGGGCTCTCGATGATCGCAAGTACGATCTGCCCGTCCAAGGTGGGCAGACCGTACGAGCTTTCAATAAGCATACGACCATCGCAAGACAAAAGTCTTGCGATGGTCGTGAGGTGTATGGGCACCTTTAGTGAGGAGAAAGAGGCAAGATCACTCAGTCAAAGGTGGTGTTTAAACACAGCACCTTGACTGCAGCCAATCAAAGTGATTTGGGAGCAATGCATGTGATGCTTCGGCATCACTATTGGCTATACTCTGTATTGTTTTTGAAAAAATGTCCCCTGTCCCTTTAAGAGAAAGTATCGGTTATTGGTATCGGCAAGTACATGAGGGCCAGTACTTGTACTTGGTCTTAAAAAAGTGGCATCGGGACATCCCTACTGTTAACCTTATAAAAGCAACTGTAAAGGTGCCATATTATAATTAGGCGTTAACCAATTCAAACTTTGAACCAGGTATATGCACATTTGGGGAATATTCCTGCCTCTTTAGGGCCAGGTCATATCAGTGGCTGGCTGGCAGGCAGGTGACAACTGCAGATCTTTAGGAAAGTCTAATCTATTATACAAGGAAAGCAACCCCTAAAGCAGAGGCAAAAACAGTGTGCTAGGGGGCAACACTTTTATATAGAGGCTTATGCTGCTTCATACCCATATTTAAATAACAAGAACTAGTGACAACCAATATAGCATATATAGTGTCTACATGACACAAAATATAGTTAAAACATTGTAAAATAGGAATTGCTGAAGTGGAAAAAGGAAGCCCATTTCTCACTCACTAAAAACTATTAACTTGAAAAACCTCACAGTACAATTAACCAATAAGTATCTGTAATACAGAGAAAGAAGGATCTTAAGTACCATTGGTGATGTTCACTGAAAACCAGGACCAATCTTCAAAAGCTGAAAAGCTGTCTGTGGATATCAAAGACCACTGATGTCAAACCTTTTTGAGTTAAAACAGCATTGTATGTGGCAGACAACTCTCCCCTCCCGCCCCCACCTCGTATTCAAGCCAAGCTGTTTTAACACCTCTCTCTGGGCAGGTTAACAACATCTCCTAGACTCCAATTAAGCAAATGCAATCAACACCTGGTTGCGACTAACAGATTATGTGGATTGGAGCAACATTCACCATATTTATTCCCAGATATTTTTTGTACAAGTCATTCTGAATTGAGAAAGCTGGTCGGATGAATAGTGAAACGTTGTCAAGAAAAATACAGCAAGTCCAGTTGCCTTGACTTATATTTTACAGATATACCTTTTAGAGAACATTTTATTCTTGGATTTAAGATATATAGATCACTGGTTCGGCGTCATCTTGAGTATGCGGTTCAGTTTTGGTCACCTATCCACAGAAAGGATGTCCTAGAGCTGGAGAGAGTCCAGAGAAGGGCAACTAAACTAATAAGGGGCTGGAAGATCAAAGCTATGAGACAAGGTTACTAGATTTAGACTTAGGCAATTTAGAGGGGACATGATTTTAATGTACAAAATGTTTAATGGTGATGGCAACATCAGCAATAAACTTTTTACCGTATTTGCCGGCGTATAAGACGACTCTGCGTATAAGACGACCCCCTACTTTTTGTGTTAAAATATAGGTTTTGGGCTATACTCGTCTTATACGACGAGTATAGCCCAAAATAATGTTTAAATGCACCCACTAACATCCATGGCGGTATTCCTGAGTGTGGTTTGGGGTTTATTTTCAGTACCATAAACAGTAACCCCGAGCCACAATTGAGATTAAAGTCTCTTACCTTGTCCACGATCCCCGCTGTGTCCTCCGTCTTCTGCTGAGTCAATCACGGCAGGCTTTGTATTAATGAATACAGGCTTTGTATTCATTAATACAAAGCATGCCGTGATTGGCTCAGCGCGTAATACTGTATGTAGCCGAAGCTACATACAGTATATCATATCCTTCTGTATGTACCCGGCATATAAGACGACCCCCGATTTTTGGGGGATGTTTTAAGGTTTCAAAACCCGTCTTATACTCCAGCAAATACGGTACTCTAAACTCCCTAACAAGGGCCACCACCTAAAATTTGTAGAGAGAAGATTTAACCACAATGGGCATAGGGGCTTCTTTTCAGTCAGAGTGGTTACATTTTGGAACTCTCTGCCACAGGCAGTGGTATCAGCATAGGGTATTGAATCATTCAAAAATCAATTAGATACCTTCCTCTGAGACCGTACATACAGGGGTACAGGTACTATTAAAACCTTAGACCCCAAGGGACCCACATATGCACGCACTACACACACACACTTACACATAAAGGTTGAGCTTGATGGACCTGTGTCTTTATTCAACCTCAAATACTATGTAACTATGTAAGTTGTGGCCTATACTTAATTTAAAAAAAACCGATAAGAAAACTCCCAGGACATAAATTATGCATGGAAATTCAAAATAAAGGTTTTGAAAGAATAACAAAATTTTTGAAAGATACCATTGTCCCCTGTACTTTCTGTAAACAGTGTGAGGGCCTGAAATCCTAAATGCTTGGCTTTAACCCATGGAATTTTACATCCCCTCACCAGTGGATTGAATGGTAAACTGCCATAAGTCAAAAGAGGGAAGTTGTATGACCATGAAAAATTAAATGCAGCAAGAAAACTATATGTATAAACAATACCTTCCATGAGAAACGACAATAAGAACCAGGAAGGAAACTTGCAGAGAAGTGCTATCTCACAATGTGGCGGATAAATGGTTGCCTTAAGGGAATAGGGAGGAAGTGTACATCACTGGAATGGTCAAGCCTAGAAGACTGAATAGTCTCCTGACAAGAGCCAAAAATGAACAGCCTTGCTAGACTTATTGTATGCAAACTTTTAAGATGGAGAATGAAATAAGTAGGGTTAATTTAAGAGAACAAGTGATATTGCTAAGCAGCTTGTATAAAGAACTATTGTTTTCCTGTGTTTTTCATGCACTTAGAAACGCACATCAAATGCAGGTCAGCAGATTCCCCTACACTTCAATGCTGCAGTTTGGAGCACAGTTCTGCAGCTTGTGTTGAAGGCCAAGCAGGACTAACAAAGCCTTTTGCTTTGATTTGCATTCAGCCACATGTATTTGAACACATCTGATTTTGAAGGTCAGTATATGACAGTAAAGCCTGTATACACAAGCAATTGGATAACATGCATTCATTTAGCAACATAGACTGGATGACTGGCCAATCTTTTCACTCACACAATATATAAAGTTATACCCTTCTCAACAAAAAAACATCGAGTGTTGGCACAATTCAGTTTAAATTGCTCCACCAAGTCTTCAGAAGCTAAAAGAGTGATTGTGCAATCCTGGAAGACCCTCACTCTCTCCCTAAAAGTGCTTTTTTACCATTATGTCTCACACCCTGTTTTTTGAGAAGCTTACAGCTATA